TGTGTCTGCCTGTCTCTCTCCCCCACTCACTCAGTCCATCTAACTGTCTGTCTGTCTGCCTGTCTCACTCGGCCTCTCTCTCCTCTCTGTCTATTTTTCTGTCTGTCTCTCTGTCTACCTCTCTGTGTCTCTCTCTATCATACAGTCATTCAGGTCTTAGATATTTTTAGAGGATTTCACCCCCCCTTCCCCCCATTTCTAATTAAAAGCCCCACAGAATGAATTCTAACTGGAATGCTTGTGATGAAGCCTCTCATTTTAGTGTCAAACATTATGATTCTGTCTCCTCTCCCCCTCTCTCACCCACCCAGTCCCACCCTTTCAAAATAAAAGCCCCACAAATACAAGTTTCAATCCAAGAGTATGAATCTAAAATGCAGAAAAGAGAGTAGCGCTATCTCAATTGAACCTGAATGACACTACCGGTAACATTGGCGTGTGTATATATTGCGATTTCTTTGGGCAGTAGAAGCCACACTGTCAAAATTTCTTTAGGAATTTTCTAGTTGCTATTATGATTTATAGTTGTATCGGTTTTAAAAATAGATACTGTTCAGTTGGGAACCTGTAGGAGACAAAATAATGTAATTTTTAGAGCACTATGGATTTTTTTTTTTCCTGCAACCGTCTCTAGTTTTTCTTCTGGGAGTACTTTTCTATTTTTCTGATTTCATCCGTTTCAGTCTGAGCATTTGCACATTTTCTCTCCACAGCGGACTTTGGCTTTGCCCGGTACCTCCAGACCAACATGATGGCGGCAACACTCTGTGGGTCCCCTATGTACATGGTATGCATCCTTAAACCCGATGATGGCTGTTGCTTCTGATGCTTCTCTTATCGTTGCTCACGTGAAAAAAGCAGAGCTAGGAGCGAGTTCTTTTAATATCACAGTCTCTAACACATAATAAGGCATGAGTAATGCTAACTTAATCGCCTCATTGATTGTTCATCAAAGAGTTCCACTGAAGTGTCGCAATCTGACTATATTTATTTCCTCTCTAGGCGCCTGAAGTCATTATGTCCCAAAACTATGACGCCAAGGCTGACTTGTGGAGTATAGGAACCATAGTGTTTCAGTGTCTGATTGGAAAGGCTCCTTTTCAGGTAAACACGTTATGACAATGCATGTTTTTTGTTTGTTTTTTGCAATATGATCCGCTTCCCTCATACCTACAACGTCACTTAGGGATGAGCCTGCATCGAAACTCCACCGACCAAAGACATAAATTAACAATTTACTGTTATCCATGGCTTTTAAGAACACAAGCATGTGTGTACAGAACACTGAAAAGTGAAACAATAATTGAATATTTGAATGGCCATTGCATAATATTATAACAATTAGTTTGCTTGTCATTTTGCACAAGATAATGGAATTGAAGCAGATATTTTAATGCGATCAAAAATATGGAAAACGCACGCAGTAATTAAAAATAGTTCATTAACACAAAACTATGCTGAATGATCCTTTAACATGTTTTTTTCTTGGAAACATCAGTTCAGTGTGTTTGTTGTAAGTATTCAAACAGACTGTCTCTTCTCTCCAGATCATGTGAAAGATGAGGAAGAACCCAAAAACCCAGTAAAATGATGCCGTGAAAGATTAAACACATAACTTCTTTCATAACGACCTCATCTAATCTGGCCTAGTAGCATTTCTGAAACTATTAGAGTAGCTTCATTGACGGGCATGTCAAAGCGTGTGTTATTGTGTCGTTACACAGGTGATGGAACCCAGAGCCAGGCACTGCTAATGACATCATCCTATCCGTGCAATGGCAGCATACTGTGCCATAAGCGTGTACGACTGTGTGTGTGTGTGTGTGTGTGCAGATGTACATACATTTACATGTTTTCAACTATCTCTCTGACCTTTCATAATTTTTAGGCTAGCAGTCCCCAGGACCTCCGGCTGTTCTATGAAAAAAACAAGACTCTCAGCCCCAAGTAAGGAGTTACAATGACAGCATGTTCTTTTTAATGTGATCAGCCAATGTTATGGTAAAAGGCAAAACATTAGTGAAGTTAATCGCTTTGTTCTGTATTAGTTTTATGGATTTTACTTCTACGAAATTAGAAACTTTGCTGCGATACATCTTCCGAACAGATTTCCCGATTTAAAAAGTGAAGTCCTGACCTAAACTCTTCAGAGAGACCCAATTATATTTGACAATGTGTTGCTACAGTGCTATTAAAAACGGCCATGCCAGCTGGGTTGTTTTAACAGTTGAACAGCAGTTGATTCACAACATTGTTAGAGATGAAAAGCCCCAAACAAATCCCCAACATCCGAACCTAATTAACGTCTGTAAGGCTTCACATTTCCGTTTCTCACAGCCGCCTACTGAAACCACGCTAAGGTTTTCATTAATTCATTAATTATCTCAAGGGAATTTTAGATAGATCTTTTATTTGGTTACAGTATGAACATAAAAAAAGTAAACCAAGTGCAGCTCAAAGTGTTCCTGTATCTGTTCTGTATTGTCAGCATCCCCAGAGAGACTTCTAGCCATTTGAGGCACCTACTGTTGGGTCTGCTGCAGCGCAACCACAAGGACCGCATGGACTTCGGTCAGTGAACATAAAGTACAGGAAAACGTATGAAACGGTTGACTATGTGCCGTTGATGAAGACCTACACTGCTAACTTACTAATATAACATTTTATAAATGCTTATCTAGTTCCATTACCCAGACAACAGATGTAACAAGTATATTGTGTATGTCTGCATCTATGAACCGTAAGCACAGCACAGTACTGTACTGACATGTCGCTCCGCTCCACTACCACCCACTGATTCTGTTTCTTCTTCTGCTGCTGTTGTTGGTAGATGAGTTTTTTTGTCATCCGTTCCTGGAGGCTAGCTCATCCCTGAAAAAGAGTAAGTAAGAATAAACAGTACACTTCTTAATAAAGCTAGGTTTGATAATTGTCAGTAATACATAAGTGCAGGACTATAGCTCTATTGTATATGATGCGTGTATTTATATATATATATGGTATTTATATATATATATATACCATAGACTTATGACACGATGTGTGTTGGGCTTTTCTCAAACCGCCTTGTGCGTATCCTTGAGTTGTCTTAACAATGCATTGCATTTGGTTGCAGCGACTCCTACTGCGTCCATGACCTGCCTCCCAAGCTCTGCATCAGCCAGCTCTTGTAGCAGCTCTTCCACCTCTCACCTCGCCTCTCCACCGGTTTGTGTTTATTATTCCTGTATTATTTCCTCTGTTTCTCTGTACGTACCGAAGTATCGAGGCCGTGTTTTAGAAAACCGACCAAGTCAACATCTATTTCTCTTTCGCTATTTCCTTTGTGCTTTCTTTCTTGGTTTACCGACTGCTTTCTCTCTCCCCGTCTCCGCAGCAGTCTCTTGCCGAGGGTCAGCACTTGCGTGCCAAAGCTCTGGCCTCCCCTACCCAGGAGGCTGCTGGTTTACTTCTCAAGGACTCCTCTGGCGGGGGTGGCAGCAGCAAGAACTCCTCCTCCTGTGACACAGATGACTTTGTCATGGTGCCTGCTCACATCACCAGTAAGAAAACGTTTTTTTCTACCTAAATATTAAATGCCTCTGTGCACAGTCCTCTCCTTGGCTCCCGCTCTGTAGGATTACTGAAGTCATATTTTATTTTGCATTTTTTTTTCATAGTTTTTATGTGGCATTAATAGAATTTCATAAGCTCCATAAGATCCTTTTTTTCAGTCTCTTTTCTGATTTATTTCTCCTGGTTTTGCAGCGGGTGAGCTGACATGTGAGAGTAAAGTGCTGCAGGACAGCCTGATGAACAGCAGGTAAGATGCAAGGATTGGTTATTCATAGATTGCCATTACCTGTATTACACTAATTTAATGTAGTTGTGTAACAGCGTTACAGAACACCGCTAGTAGAGGAGGATAACCGACTATCCCTAATTCAATTTACAGTAAAAGTGAGAGCATGTTGTATTCCTTTTCAAAATGGCAGCTCGATAAAGTCGTCATGGCGTGTCTCCTCTTTAATCAGCTCTCTGCTGGCTTCTGCTGGTCTGTGCAGCCAAGTCAAAACCCCACCACACTCACCTTCCTGCAGTGGGTCTCCAAGTCCTGTCAGGTAACGCCCTCAAAGCTATGTGTCTGGTTGTGGTGAACGATATAGAAATTGGTTGGTGGTAGGAGAAGAAGAAATAGCAGAAATTGCCAAAGTAGCTGGTACGGTAGATTAAAGTAATTGATATCTGCTAAATTAATACATGTCTTTAATTAACCTCAGTTCACACATGCTATGTAATGTTGTAACTGCCAATGTCTTGGCAGTATTAACAGAATGTCTCTATTGCAAAATATGTGGAGTACTCATTCATGTTGAAAGTGTTAAGCTTGTCTGTGTACACACACACACACACACACACACACTAAGCCTCCCATCGCTCTACTGTTTGCATTGGCACACTCTGTTCTTCTCACTCTTGTTGGCAGGCCCAGTGAATTCTCGGGAAGTAACGATGGGGGTAGCTATGGAAACCACGCACAGTCGTTGCCCATCCCAGTCCCGTCCCAGGTCCACAACTACCAGCGCATGGAGCAGAATCTCCACTGTACCAAACCGGATGGCTCACCCCGGTCTGTGTCACTGTTGCTAGTGTAAATCTGTATTTTTTTTTTTTTTTACATTTATTTAATTGACTGCGGTGACTCATGAATATTCTGTTATTAGGCTGTCCACACCTGTGCGGCGTTGCAGCAGCGGGAGCTCGTTAGGCTTCGGTCGGACCGGGCTTTCCCCCTTCTATGGGCAGGGGGCAGTCACCACCAATCGTAGGCTTTCCCTGGGGGGCGCCAGACCTTTCCAGCTCTCCCCTCAAGGTATCTTCAGAGGCTGCTCTTCACTTTGTAAACCACTTTCACAAATGCACATCCCAGCTTTCTCTATACTACTCTCTATACGATTTAACCAAAGAGGGATTGTATATATATTTAAAAATATATATTAAATAATCAAACGGAACAAATTATTATGAAGTAATTTGGTGCAGCCCTATAAAGTCAATTGGCTTGTCACAAAGAGGGAACTACTTTTGTGGTTAGTATTTGCCAATGTTTCTCTGAGTCAGCCAGTTCATTACTGTTGAAAGTCATTGGTTGAGACAATGAACCAACCTCCTACGTACACAAACACTCTCCTTCTCGCCACCGGTTGCTCTCTACTCGTCTGTGCCTCGTGCTGGCACAGTCCCTTAGCTGTCTGGACGTCCAGCATGGCAGCGTGGGAGTTAGGCAGGACTTCTCTGCAGTCTCTTTGGTGGATCTCTTGTCCTGTTGTCTTGTCTGACATTGAATTTCGCAGATGCCACCTGCTGTCTAAAAGCAGAAACAATGTGACCTCTGTCTTCTGTCCTACACAGCTCCTCAGCACGGTGAATCCCGGCCGACTGCTCAGCAGCACCCACAGCCGACGGGCCTGGGCACACGGCTCCACAGTGCCCCCTGCTTGTCGGAGTGCGCCAGTGGCGGCGGCAAGCAAACGATCAGGAAGCAGCACTCGGACCCGGTGGTGGCCCCCTCGGCAGGTCTGAAGGCTCTCCGCCCTCTACACTCTTCCCCCAGACTCAGTGAGCTGATGCAGCGTAGCCCCCTCCCCACAATCCTCGGCTCCCCTTCCAGGGTGAGTCAGCCGAGTGAGAAAAATGTGTGTGTGTGTGCACGCTTAATTCTCTGGAGATACACAGAACAAGAAAAGACTACCAAAGCAGTTTCAACAAACCTGTGGTACTTCTCCTCTTCTCCCTCTTGTCGCTCTCCTCAGGCCATCCCTCCGTTTGAATTCCCTAAGCCTCCTAGCTCTCCAAACCTCATGACCTTCCTGACACAACAAGGATTGGTCATCGGCAGCAGGACTGCTCAGGCGGAGCTCAGAGACGCAGGACAACAAGCGCTGACACAGGTTATCCAGCCGGCCCACTGCATCCACAGACTGAGCAACGATACCAAGAGCTTTGGAAGGTTAGATGACTGTTTTTGTTTTCTGTGTGTTGTGTTTATCACGCTGATGCTGTGTATCGAGGAGGAATTGTTTACCGTCAGATACAGGATAGACTGGAGTGCCATATATATATATATATATTATATATATTAAACAAGGATGTGCGCCTAATTCATATCACTTTCTCTCTTTCCATGTTCTCTGCTCTGTCTTTGTTTCCTGTCTCTTCGGAGCAGGTCTCAGAGTGCAAGTCGTCTGTCGGACATGCTGCTGATGGCTGCGTTTGGACCAGGTGGACCCGTGGGTGACCGAGGCAGCACGGAGAACTTGACGTCTGAGAAAACCATAGGCATAACAGGTGGGAATTAACAAACATTATGTCTGATATTTTGGATTTCTGTTCGTTTACATGGCTCATGCCGACAACGTGTCATTAATATAGAAGTCTGTCATTTACAGGGAGAGCTCCTTTGAAATACAGTTTAGTAGTTCTTGGTATTTATTGGAAAATAAAAAAGGTCAATGATATCTATCCAGCCCGACCTCCACTCATCGCTCTTTTCTGCCCTCTAGTGCCCCCGGGTGGAGGGGGAGGTCTTGCCCCTGGCTCGATCAGCCCTGCTCAGGTGGTTTTCACTGTGGGCTCTCCTCCCAGCGGCAGAACCCCACCTCATAACTCCAGACAGAGGAAATACTCAGGTACCTCATGCACATTCTAACACAAACAAATGCAAGTCATTGGTCTCCACATCCCGTCTGCAAGCTGGCCGGAATCAAATTCCACTTACGCAGCAGCGTTACGCTCTGCACATCATAAAACATAGAGCACTGGGAAGATATTGCTTTTATTTTCCATGATGTGGAAACTTAATTAAAAGTTTTGGAGGCGAGCATAAAAGGTTTATTTTATTTTACTTTTTCATTAAACCCATCTGTGGAGAGATGTAGCTACATTTAGGGAGTAATAACCCAAATTACATTTTTATCAAACACACAATTTTCCAATTGGTAATTGGAGTTTAGAGCATTTAAGAGAAGAGAAGAATTCATGTAGCTGCTGGCAGATTTTGAGCATTAACTGGAACGAATCTCTGCTCAATACAGTGGTCATTAGGGTGAAAGCCGGAAGCGAAAAGCATAGCATTTGATGCAAAACAAAATATGTATGTATTAAATACATTTTCTCTTTTTCTGACTCCTGCAGGCTCGTTCACTTCAATCAGCCCCGCAGGCTCCTTCACGAGCCGCTACCCCCAGACTGCCACCTATCTGGATGGCTTTGAGGCTCCTTCCAGTCCTCGCTACAGTTTCACTGATCCCATCACAGCCAACATGGGCGGCCGTGTAACCTTTGAGGCTCCTGAGCTGCCCGAGGAGACGCTGATGGAGGTGAGAAGCAGGTTTTAATGCGTGGCTCGAGAAAGCAATGGAAAAAGGAGTCCTCCCTTTGAACCTGTGTATTTCTGCAGCAATTACTTCTTTGTTGTGTACATCAGTCAGGGGTTCATTCTCACAAAACCTCGATATGAATAATCCCTCTTGACAGTGTAGACTGTAAGAAAAAATGTAACAAGAGAGCATAGTGTATTTGAGAGGGCTTAAGATCAAGTCATCGTGGTAAATTAGCCTAACATGGATTCTGTTGATGCTTGCGTTCATTTCACTAATGCAGCCTAAATGGGAAATTACAGTCTGGTGCCCTCGTCTTCTAAATCGCATCACTAAACAATTCCCTTTTCTCTGTCTCTCTTTCTTCCCGACTCTGTCGGAGGGCAGCAGGAGCATACAGACACTGTGCAAAGCCTGCGCTTCACGTTGGATTTCGCCCGCTGTCTGATGGAGGTCGCCGGAGCCTGTGGGGTCGCGGCGTTGGGGGAGCAGGAAGACATTTCTCATCCCTCCCTCTTTCAGCAGCAGAGCCTGGTAGCAGATCAGATAAGCTCGCTGAGCCGAGAGTGGAGGTAAGGCCGTATCGATCAGCTATTAAACATTTTAAAAAATAACCTTTTTTAGTTTTTCAAGTCAGACTTTCATATTGCAGCTCGCAGATGTGTAGAACCTGCTCATGGGTATTGACTTAAATATGTCAACATTCATGCTGCTTCGTATGAAACAAGATTTGTATGCTTGAATGCACTTTTTTTTTTTTTTTTGCACAAGACATAAATATGATAAGTCAGGGAGAAGAGGAGGAGATTTCACGCCTTCTAACATTCGGGGAAACACACTGCAGATGAGTTTGATAATGGAGAGTGTGGTATTTAATGAGAAAGACTTTGATCTCATCTCTGGTCCTCAGGAGATGTTGTCTGCACCACAGCCAGTGGGTTAGGGTTAGACTTGTGACTTTTTTGATGCATAATTGGCCATAAACCTGCTATACAAATCGATCGTACAGATGTTTCGCTAACTTTCACAATTAAACACCAACATTGCATTGTTTGTAGTCTCATTTTTCAATTTAAATTTGAGTTTTAAGTAGTGTGTGTGTGTGTGTGTGTGTGTGTGTGTGTGTGTGTGGGGGTGTGTCTCTCTCTCCTCAGTCATGCAGAACAGCTTGTTCTCTACCTTAAGACTGCAGAACTCTTGTCCTCTGCCTTACACACAGCCATGGAGCGAGTTAAACAGGGCAAACTCTACCCATCCTCGACAGTCAAACAAAGTATGAGCCATTTCCTTTTTTTTAATGAGGATGGTCTTGTTAAGGGGTCTAATACGCATATGAAACAGAATGCATAATGAGTTTCCTGGCAGCATATTAAAATACATTTCTGTCCGCATACAGTAGTGAGGAGGCTGAACGAGCTGTACAAGTCCAGTGTGGCGTCCTGTCGCTCACTCAGCACCCGTCTGGAGCGCTTCTTTTCCAGGAAGCACCGCTTAATGGACCAAATCACCTCCATCACAGCTGAGCGGCTGCTGTTCAGCCACACTGTGCAGATGGTAAGCCAGGGAGGGGGGGATTAGACAGTTGGGATGCAGATGACGGATATTGACCAGCAGGCCAAAGAGTAATCGTTCAGATACTGTACGTGTGGGCATCCAGCAAACCATTAACCTGAGCGCATGTATGGCAACATTTATAAACTTAGGCTCCAAGCAGTTGCTCTCAAATTGTTGCTTTATGGCCACAGCAATATTGTAAGGCAACTAAAGTAACTGTAAGCTAATTAGAGTATTTATATAAATGGCTTAAAGGTCATGCTTTTATTTGTATACTTGCTCAGGAAAGAGTACCACACAAAGCAAGGGAAACTAAAGCTGTTAAAGGATGTTGGTGTTTTAATCAAAAGCTAAAATATAACGCATTATATATTGACTTGAGCCTCCTGGTGTCGTCTCAGGTTCAGGCTGCTGCACTGGATGAGATGTTCCACCAGGGCGAAGCGTCCGTCCTGCGGTACCATAAAGCTCTGCTGCTGATGGAGGGCCTGTCTCTGCTGCTCACTGAACAGGACGACCTCCTCAGTGTGAGCAAATGTAAGTATGTGGGTCAGCTCATCTCACAAAGAGAAGGGACGTCTCCACTCAGCACCAGCAGCACAGTTCGTTGTTGCGATGTTCCTTCAGCTAAAAAAAATATATATATGTAATATTTAGATTTCCTAGTATTTTCCATCTATACAGTGATATTAAAATGTATGTTTCTGCCAGTTCATCACAGACCTAATGCACTAAAGCTAAGCCCATGCTAACACAGCATGGATATGACTTGTTATGCTCACCCACCCACTTCTCTTTTCCTCTTTTTGTATGCAGGTAAAGAGTGCATTGAACGCCGCCTCACAGCTTTGCAGTCGGGTCTCTGCGTTTGACAGTTCCTGCACCGCTCCTTGAGTGTGGCTATGATGTCAGTCATCTGCACCCTGCGCATTACCAACAAACCAAATCTCCACCCACATCTCATGGTTTTAACTTTAACACTAGGAAACCACAAGGCTTTTGCAGTTTGAACTTTAACCGTCGGGGCTTGTGCTCTCCAAACGGCTTGCCGTTCATCCCGAGTTCTGGACAGTGGCAGCGACTTCTCCGGCACTGAACTCGTGCCAGTGTTGTACACGAAGCACTTGTGCTGTGAAAAGAATGTCTGCGCTCTCGTCCATGCGAGTAGGACTTTGCTCCTGGCACTGAAAAGGGCATATTTTTGCCAAGAAGGAAGATTCCTCTCACCAGGCGTAGCACCTGCAGGAGTAGATATCGCCAAGTAGTCACATACCCACATACAATACCTAATTAAACATAAACAGATAGCGTAAGATGGACGAATATCCGCTTGTAGACAAAATGTTATCTTTTACCAAGATCAGTAGCTGGAGGGAAAGTACCTGCTGTACACTTGCATACAGTAAGGACGTGTTCTGATGAAGGGGCGGGAATGTCCAAGTATCAATCTCATCAACTATATGTTCGTCTAAACCCCGTTGTTTGCTTTCCTGGGTTTCTTTATTTCTTGGTATTTACCGAATTGTTACTTCCTCGCTGAAAAGAAGTTTAAAAAAAGCAATGATCCAGCTTGTTTGGAAGCACATGTAAGCACTATTACAAAAACAAACTGTTGCCAAAATTCTATTTAGTTTTGTTGTTGTGTTTTGTTTTATTTTAGATTACTGTAGGTAAAAAAAAAACAGATCCCTGTGTTTTGTCACTTTACTGATTCTAAACTTGCTTAATGTTAAAGACCGCGTTCCATCATTGAACCCGTGGTGGAGGAGGGGTTTTGTGTTTTTAAATGGTGGCTGGTATTAAAGCAGCAGACAGAAAATGGGTCCAGAAAACACTCACTAACCCACTGCTAAATGCAAAAATATAGCTTTTTATTCAACAGGCCCTGAAACCGGTCCGTGAGCATCCCTGGTTGCAATCATGTTGAATATGCTGCAATAACCTGGGATGTATTCCTCAGTGATACAGAAGCTCGGGGGGCTGCAGTTGTTTGGTAATGTCTTCACATGATTCCATATTCTGTCCGATCATATGTTATCAACCAATCATGTTGCAGTCGAGCAAGTTTAATCAAAATTTGAATGTAGAGCTGTGACAGGAGAGGAACAACCCGATGTTGCTAAGATGGATCCCGGGATTAACGTCTGAATGTTTTTGCACTGTTGAAGTACTGTACGGGGATGATGTTGAGTGGAACACGTTAAAACGTGTCCAGTTGTTCTATATACCCTAGAGACATATTTGCTTAGTTAGAGAATTATGTTCCTCGCTTTTTATTGCAGTTCAGTTGCATTATAGTTGCTGTCAAAAAGGCAACGTGTGTTAGATGTGAGGATGCTGACGAAGAGAGATGGTATAAGCTATGAAACCGTAGAAAGATTTCTTTGAGAAGAAAAAGGAAAAATACAAAAAACAAATTGCTTTACACTGAAAAATTACTTGCGTTGACTGTGCCGTGTTCGGTTTCAGAGTAGTTAGTGGGTTGCCGTTATGTTAGTTTTGAAAAGTGACCGGTTGATTTGCAGTGCTAGTTTAAAAATGTGTGTTGTACCTGAAATATTTGTGTATCGTTTACCCTTAGCCATATATCTCAACAGGATACCTTTTACTCCCCTTAAATTTTGGGCCAATGGGAAGGGTCAACTTCTCCTTTTGGTTGCTGTCAAAGAGAAGTTTGCGAGCATGCATGCGTGAAGTGATGTTTCATGTATTAATGGACAGTGGGGGGTTTTGTTCCGTACAGAACTATTGACATTGCTCTGCAACAAGATGTGAATGATTTGGATTCTGACTCCAGTTGATTGCGTGGATGTGGTTCAACAATATCGGATGGAAATCAGAGGTTCCTCTGGTGTAACCGACTTTCTTTTCCCCCCGAGGTGAGCATATTTTGGAACAGGTTGTTGATGTACGCTGAGATTTTTGGAGCCAGTATAGTAGCACTGTCAGCAGAACAGAAAGGAGGAGATGATATGATATAAATATACATAATTTTTATTAGATTTTTTTTTGTCTTTTGTCAGATTTTCTTTCATATATTTTCTTAGTTCTGACTCTGCTGAGAGCGTTCTGCGAGTGTGCAATGTTTGTTAGAGTGAACATTCCTAATATCGACTCATCCACAGCCTCTCTGTCTCTTACACATGCTGTTCTGTCGGTATGTGGTGGCAATGTCTCAAAAGAAAGGGATGACATCTCACCTTTACAAAACTGATGCATGTCTCACTTTTTTTTTTTCCCTACAATCATTGCTACTGGCCATCTTAATGATAAGTATCGGTGGACGGAGTCAAAAGATCATTTGCGCAGCTGTTGAAGTAATATAAAACAGCAGGGTGGTGTATTAAGTGCAGAGCTAGTGCCCTTTGACAAGCATGTGTCCACTCTGCTGAAGTGTACTTGAGCAAAATGCTTACTCCCCACGAGCTTCAGGGCGACTGTTCAAAGTATCACGTAAAGATATAATGTAGTGTGTGAACTCCCATAATATATCTGTCATTGATTTAGATCATTCTTTTCTATGTTTGCTAAGAACCTACCTGAATGTTTTCATTTTTTGGATTTCACTCTACTCATTCTGTATCACCTGTAAATATTGTAAATTAAGTTATTGTTGTAGTGCATATGATGCCGCAGGAGTGGAGAGAATGGCACCATACCACCAATACATTTCCAAAGAATAGGCCTTCTTCTGATCTTCCATATTGTCTCTTACTGTTGCAAAAAGCATTTTAATGTTGTCATATCTATGACAGACACTTTCTCAGTGTCCCTGTGTGTGTGTGTGTGTGTGTGTGTGTGTGTGTGTGTGTGTGTGTGTGTGTGTGATGTAACCTTTACTGTTTGAGAGTTGCAACATGAATAAAGTGAAAGGAAAGGTAATTTGTCTTAAGATGAAGTGGGTTTCCTTAATTTATATTTAACATCCACAAGGAATAGTTTTCCTCATTAGTCCCCATGGCTATGGAATAATGTTCAAGGGAGGCTGGCAAGGCACGTCAGCAGCTACAGTCCTGCTGCTGACCCAGTAAACCGCTGCTAGGACCAATTAAACCTGCGGATTTACCATTAAGTCTATTTAAAGGAACATGCCCATGTTTTTGGCATGGTTTACACACGTCATTACAAGACACATAAATTCAACATTACAGATGGTAATTTCTTAAAACATAATGTTTAATGTTTCCTCACACTACATGAAGCCACTGGTTTCAACTAACTTCAGTTCCCTGAAGCATTGTCAATGAACACCAAACATACCGTATATATATCTATATATATATATATATCTATCTATCTATATCTATCTATATCTATCTATATCT